AGTTGAAGTTGTCGTCGTCGTAGTTGTTGTTGTTGAAGTTGTTGTTGAAGTTGAAGTTGTTGTCGTAGAAGTCGTTGTCGTTGTCGTTGTAGTTTCTGTCGTAGTTGTTGTAGTTGTCGTTGTCGTTGAGGTTGTTGTCGTAGTTGCTGTCGTCGATGTTGTCGTTGTCGTTGTTGTCGTAGTTGCTGATGTTGTTGTCGCTTACAAATAAAATATAGATACTTGTCGACAAATTTCTATATCAAGATCTACTTACAGGTTGTTGCTGTGGTCGTACTTGTAATAGTGTGTGATTGTAAAGCTAAAGTATTGAAAAAAAAGCTCATATATAAATATAATGCATTAGTGTTATATATGACTATGAGTATTTTCTTATCTCTCAAGATACACGTATTGATAGAAACTTTGTTACACTCCTACAAAACCTTTCGAGAAAAGTCGTCTGCAGTTGATTCATATCTTTTTTTAAGATAATAATTAGGAAAGAGAGAGTGGACATATGCATATTACTTGAATTTCTATCAAAATCTTCTTTATATCAGAGAGAGAGACTATTCTATGAATCAGTCTCGTTGTTGTTGGGTACATAATTACCTAATAAGATGATAGCTGCAATCAGAGCTGCAAGAAGAATAGCAGCAATAAGGGCCGCAATGATAGCGCAACAACAGCATTGGGTGATTTTGAATATTCCACCTCTACATGATCAATAATATATCTTTGAATGAAAGATGTTTTATAGAGAATAGAATCTAACCTTCTACGTCTTTTTCTTTTTCGTTCTTCATTATCTTCGTTCACTTCATATATCTAAACAAGATGATGTCATATTAAATAATAGTTGAAAACAAGGTTAAGAAACTAACACGCAACGGTTCGACCCAGTTTTTGCGTGAAACCAATTGGAAACGTTCATTCGATGCCATCAGATGTATATCAGCAGTCTATAAAATAGAATGCATACAAATTTCAATCACTTTTTTTTTGCACTGTGTATTCATTTTTGAGTAGATGTCTAATTTGAGTTCGAAAATGAATGGAAAAAATGCGGCACTCATGTTAAAATAGCAAAAAAAGCAAAATAAAAAGTTTTATATAAATTATAAATTCATAAATGAAAGGGCCTACCCATGTAAAAATAGCAAAAAAAAGGAAAGAAAAACATTCTACCCAAATGATTATTGTAATCACAATTTTACTTTGCACATTACGGTGTACACAAAGACGAGCATGGGTTGCGGCTCTTCGGGGGGGGGGGGGGGGGGGGGGGGCGCTTTGCGTCCCCACGCCGCGACGCAGAAATAAAAGGGCAGTTACGCGGGAAAAATCTGTTTTTAGCGGATGAGTAACAACTATGGCCAACTACAAATGGCTCTAGTATTACTCGAAGCAAGGTAAATGCCAAAGTATACGCAATTGATTAGCATAATTTTGCTTGTCACATTTGTAGCTACAATATACTCTCGAGGGCTACACGAAAACGATTTCTAAAGAGTCTCCACTGGTGACTGAAACGTCTCAGATGTACCTTCTATCTTTCCGCGCGATATCCGTAGTATCTTAGGTGACGCTAGGAGTATTTCAGGTGATGGCTGTAGAATCTGAGATGATTCTAGTAGCATCTCAGGCGGTGCACATATTATCTCAGGGGTGTTATGAGTACTTCCGACGATATTACTAGTATCACAGGTAATGCTCCTAGAAAGTCAGGTGATGCTAGTAGCATCTCAGATAATGCTAGCAGCATCTCAGGTGATCATTCAGGCATTCCACATAACGCTAGTAGCAGTTTAGGCGATGTTGGTAACATCTCAGATGACGCTAGCAGTCACGCAGGCGGTATTAGGAGCACTTTAGGCGATGCTACTACCATCCCAAGTAATACTGGTGGGAACTCAGGTGTTGCTAGTAGCAAGTCAGATTTTGATAGCAGCATCTCAGGTAATGTTAATAGCACTTCAAGTGAGGACTATGGCATCTGAATCATGTGGCCTCTCACTTATGAACTTATAATTTATATAAAAGTTTTTCTTTTACTTTTTTGCTGTTTTAACATGGGTGGGCCTTTTCATTTATAAATTTATAATTTATATAAAACTATTTCTTTTGCTTTAGTGTTATTTTAACATGGGTGCCGCTTTTTTTTCCCATTTATTTTCGAAATAATTATGAACAGTTATGTCTCCATTTATATTCAAATTCGAATTAGGCAACTCATGCCATTTTTGTAGCAACATTCTTAAATAATTAGTAAAACTATTGTAATGAAGTTCATTACTTTGGTTGGTGTTGTTCGAAACATTGATGTGGAACTTGTATTATACAGGTCAAGAGAAGGATTCATTGAACCATCACTTGTTTCTTCAGTACTATTCTTTGATCGAAGAATTCTCTCGACATGGACTGTAGGACGAGACATTTTGTTTGGAGCATCAACCTTTAGAGGGTTCGTCTGTGACGTGTGGCTTGTATTGGATGGATCAGACGAAGGATTAATTGAATGATCACCCGTTTCTTCAGTACTACTCTTTGATCGAATAATTCTCTTGACGTGAACTGTAGGACGCGACATTTTGCTTGGAGTATCAACCTTTAGAAGGTTCGTCTGTGATGTGTGGCTTGTATTGGATGGATCAGACGAAGGATTAATTGAATGATCACCCGTTTCTTCAGTATTATTCTCTGATCGCTTAATTCTATGGACGTGAACTGAATGACGAGGAGTGCTGTTTGGAACATTAGTCTTTTCCTTTGTCACTATTGATTTGAGACTTGTGTTGTGCAGCTTGATAGAAGAATCAACTGACTGGTTATTAATTCTTTTCGTATTACCTTGTACTCGAGTTACTTTTTGAACATGAACAATTGGATAACTGGTGCTTCTTGATCTATGACTCTGTGTAGTTGTTGTCATAGCACCGATTTGGGAGCGTCCTATGCTTTGAATATTGTTCAATGAACTACTGATGTGTTCGACATGAATAGTTGAGTCATTTTTATTCAGTAAGTGAACAAATGATCGTTTTCGCTAAAATAATATTAATTTGATACTCTTATCTAATGGGCAAGAGTAAATACTCACTGAGAGTCGCTCTTTTGTAAGACGAACAATTGTTGGCTTGGATGTAACTGATGACATCGAAGAAAAATCGAGAAATAATGGATTTTCGCTTCTACATTGTTTTTATTTTAGTCAATTGCATCTATCGAATAATAAGATTTTTCTCGATGAGGCTTCAGCAAATAATATAAATTGATTTGTTTCTATATCATACTTTATTGAAGAAAAAAACAGCACACACCATTGCCTGTTGATGCGTCGAGAAAAGCAATCAAATGTGGAAACCTCATAATTACCTTTTCAGCTATCGCATCCTACAACAAGAGTTTGATCAACAGAATCAGGTAGTGTATAGACTTCTACCCTGTCAAGTGAATAACAAAATAATGGCTATTAAAACACATTTTTTTCACTAAAAGAAACGGAAGATCTCCATTAAAATGCATTCGAATGATGTACTGGACTATTTCTACCATTTTCTAACAACTAAGCTTTTTCTCTATCTGGATGTCTAAGCTGATTTAGTAAATGTCTATATTAGACACATATGTTTGTGCGATTCCACACATGGTTGTCAAATGTTTATGTCTTAGAAAATATCAAGTAGTCTTTCACAATTAACGAAATTAAATACAAGGAAACTAACAGATCATGAGGATGGCAAAGCCAACTATAGTCTAACCCATCATCTCTTTCTAAGCGTCAAGATGACCAATAATAAAGTCCGAAATCTGAAAAAATTGTGCTTCCTAAAACGTAAAAGCATTGAAAATAGTTCTCCTTTGACATCGATTCTCAAGTACTTAAGAGATGTTCTTATTTTTCAAACCAAATAGACTTGCATGTCTGGTGTGGGCAGTACTCTTGGACAGCTGTCTGTCGGTGCGAGCATGTGTATGTGGCCGACAAAGTGATACCGTAAAATTCGGTTAATATTACGAATGGCTTGAATATCAAGCCGGTTCTGAGATCGCCTTAGAAGATGAGAACTTTGTATTCAGATGAAGAAGTTCATCAGTCAGATTTTAGAACCAAGAATCGAATTTTTCTCTGTCAAATAGATTATAATCGATGAAATTCAAATAGAATGATTTCTGGATGAATCAAAGTCCTTGCTAACCTTATCTCAAGATCGTTTTAACGAAATTGAGATTTGTTTTAATTATCAGTACAACCAAAATATTTATCTAGTTCATCTTCTATCTCATCAGAGATATTCATTCGATCTATTGCTGTTCTGTTCTGTTCTGTTCTGTTCTGTTCTGTAGATTAGAACAAATCTGATTATTGTATTCTTATTGCTTAAAAAAAGTTTTTGTTGCGAAACAAAGAATAATGTTACAGAAGTAAACAAAAGAAAAAAAGGTACATAATTCAATTTGAATTCATTTCTTAGATGATTGCTTCAGTTTTAACATCGAAAGATTGAAGGTATCCAAACATAGTATGAATGATGAAACTACTTTCTAATAAATACATTTATTATTACCAACTAAGAAAAAAGTCAAATTCAAGCCTAAAGAGTTTGAATCCCTCTACATGTCACTTCACCAACAGGTATCTTATAAATCCTCAAAGCCAATTATACAATTATCAAATGCTGTTCCTAGTCATACAAGATTTCATGTCAATCTAACAAATCAAATCAAGCCTATTTTACTAATTACATGTCACCGAGATGAAGACTACCCAGGACGATGATTTCAGCCTTCGGATCCGGCCGGAACCAACAGAAACCAGGGCTATTTCCCGCTCATTCCGACAGGTTCCAGCTTATTTCCCCCGGGAACCGCCAGGAAAACATACGGAAGATGGAAGCAGTATTCCGGGTCGGAAAGTACCGTACCGGATCCTATCACTTCCGTGCAAATCCAGTGTCCCGAATTATCTTGGAAAATTACTATATCCGCATCTTACGGAAAGTTATCGTATCCTGCTTCCCAGGTGGAAGAATACGGCAAGGAATCGGCCGCTTCCGGTGCTTTCCGGAGATTTCATAGAAGCAGTATTCTAGATCGAGAAATCTCCGGATTTTTCCGATATTTTCCGACCCGGAGTACTGCTTCCATTTCTATCGATTTCCGGAGTTTTCCTGCCGGAACCGATGCCTTTCCTGCAGGTTCCTCGCTGGGAATTCACGGATCCGGACGCCGGAATCATCGTCCTGGGGTATTTTTCTGCAGGATACGGTGAATTTTCCCACATTTTTCCACGGGTTCCTGCAGGATCTGTTTTTCAGAATCATTTACCCGGGATCACATCTAGCCTGAACCACAGTGGAAACGGCTGGATCTGCTCCGATATTATCTATTAATAACATAGAAAATCTCGGAAATCAACGGAACTCGGCCAAAGTATTCCTAAATAGGATACCGCCGGCTATTTCCAGCTAACTCCCGACACTTCCGTCGCTTTCCCGCCGGCTATTTCCAGCAAACTCCCGACACTTCCGTCGCTTTCCCGCCGGAAACGCTCGGAAACGGCAAGCAGAATCCGTCAAAATCCTGCACAATACTGTCCCTAAGATCCGATCGTTTCCTACCATTACCCGCAGGAAACGGTGCACTGGCCCGTTTTCCCACCAATTCCATAAAAATTCCCTACTTTCGGTCAAAAAAGTGGGTTCCAAACTACTTAAACTCCAAATTTCGAGCTCACTTACGCATCCACATTTTGCTCAATGAACTCTGTCCTTGCTTTAAAGTTAATAGTAAACGATTGGCTTCCATCGATAACAGCCATAGGCTATGAACATTATGTAACTGTACATTAGCTAATTAATTGGTATGCATCTTAATTAGTCCTCATCTTAATCAATACTCATCTTGATTAATACTCAACCAAGTAGCACTAATTAAGGAAAGTACTCATGACTCTCGGCGGGTTAAACCATAAAGACCCATAGATACTCAAGTGCAACCCATGGGTGTACCCTTAAGCCCTCAAGCACTATCCTATAGGGGTACTCTTAGGTCCTCAAGTACTTTAGTATTAGGGTACTCATAGATTCTCAAGGGCTATCCTATAAGGGTACTCTTAGGTCCTCAAGGACTATCCTATAAGGGTACGCACAGGTCTTCAAGCGCTTTAATATGGAAGCATCCAGGAATCCTCCAAGGGCATTGTATATGGGTATCCATAGATCCTCACGGACTATTCTATAGGGACGCTCAAAGGCCTTCAACCACTTTTCTAGAGGAGTACCTATAGATCCTCAAGGGTTATATCACAGCGGTACCCATAGGTTTTCACTGAATATTATATGGGATGCCCATATGTTCTCGCGGATTTTTCTATAGGGGTATCCTCAGGCCCGTAAGCAGTATAATATGACAGTGCCCATTAGAGCTCTTGAGAAGCTATGGGCAATAATTTTGAAAGCATACCACATTTACATCGAGTCCATGGGAGTGGGACAAAACTTTCTGGGCTACTAGAATTTGATGCATTGATCTCGGAAATCATCTTGAAAATGTTTACGAATGATGTCGTACTAGCTTCGAACAAGCCGTTTCAGAAGCAATGTCGGTCAATCGTTGATTTCTCCGAATTGTCTATTTTCAATGATCACCATTTGATAAAATTCACACTGCATACTTATCAATCAGAAAACTAGCCTATTAATCAACAACATTATTCTCTGAAGTTCGCCTTCAACTGAAATGTTCCGCATAACAATAAAATCTTTCCTCGTTTTCGAAAGATAGCTTCCGCCATAAGGAAGAACATTTAGTTACCAAATTTTGTATATGTTAAAACCATCTTTTCACAACGTACACAGTTATGCGGTTTTCAAAGGTTTCATTACCACACGTTTCACAAAAGTCTTGTTTCTCTTGGCTGATTTACCTTTGAAACAGCGCCAATTCAGCCGGAATAGTTACCAGACTTTTCCCAAAAGTCTATTGTTCCTTGGCTGATTAAACGTTGAAACAGCTCTGATTCAGCCGGAGTACTAACCAGACTTTTCTCAAAAGCCTTTTTTTCGTTGGCTGATTCAGCGCTGAAATAGCGCTGATAGTGACCAGAAGTGGCCGAAAAAGTAGCATAATTTTCGGGCTCGCAATACTGCTTTTATTTTGATTGATTTCCGTGTTTTTCATTTCTCGAAACGATGATTGTTGCTGAGCTTTCCCCCCATTTTCAATCGTTTTAGGAGGCCCGAATTAACGTCGTGGGTACACTTGCGAGCTCAGAAATAGATGAAACGGGTTGGTTAACTTGGGTGGGGGCAAGGGGAAAAAGCGAATCTTCTGGATCCTTCGGATCCTTTTGGATCCCAGTTTATATCTTTTTGGATCCTTTCAGACCCTAGAATCCAAAAGGATCTCAAAGGATCCAAAAGAATCCAGAGGATC